CCCTAGCGACGTACCCGACCCCTGCGCAATGCGGGGCCTGAGTAGCGTGGGCGACTTCATACGGGGGTGCTGACGAGGCATGGGCGCGGGTATGTCTGCGACCAGTATTTGGAAGGTCACATTTGAGTCCGCCGCGGGGCCACACTATGCTGGCCCCCCTAGCAGGCCTCGAGAGTGGCGGCGGTTTCACAGAGGTCTAATTTGAATCTGCGTAGGACGTCACTATGCTGGACCCCCCAGCAGGCCTCGAAAGTGGCGACAGTCTCACAGATCGCAGCCCCCCAGGGATGGCGAGGTCGAATTTGAATCTGCGTAGGACGGCCCTCGAAAGTGGCGACAGTTTCACAAATCGCAGCCCCCCAAGGATGGCGAGGTCTAATTTGAATCTGCGTAGGACGTCACTACGCTGGACCCCCCAGCAGGCCTCGAAAGTGGCGACGGTTTCACAGGTCGCAGCCCCCCAGGGATGGCGAGGTCGAATTTGAATCTGCGTAGGACGTCACTATGCTGGACCCCCCCAGAAGGCCTCAAAAGTGGCGACGGTTTCACAGATCGCAGCCCCCCCCAGGGATGGCGAGGTCTAATTTGAATCTGCGCAGGACGTCACTACGCTGGACCCCCCCAGAAGGCCTCAAAAGTGGCGACGGTTTCACAGATCGCAGCCCCCCCCAGGGATGGCGAGGTCTAATTTGAATCTGCGTAGGACGTCACTGTGCTGGACCCCCAAGCAGCCCTCGAAAGTGGCGACAGTTGACATTTTCACAGATCGCAGCCCCCCGCAGGCAAGACAGGAGGAGGCAGGAGGGAGGCGGGAAGGAGAGGAGGAAGGACGGAGACCACAGTGCACTACTCAAAACGAATATTCAGAGTGGACCCCCCTCCCTGGCGCGCGGGGCGCGCCAGGGGCGGCGCTGGAGGCGCCGCCCGGGGGGGGGGCCAGGCGCGGATCCAAGAAATCCGCGCGGCGCGCTTAAAGTTTCTGTTTATGTTGTTTGTTTTTCCGGCGGTGGGTCAACCTCCCTTTAGTAAACCACCCTTTAGTGAAAACGGCCTGGGACCGAAACCGACGGACCTGGACCCGCAGAGATGACGGCCGCGACGCCCTCTCGCGAACCGAAAACGGCCAATTCACTAATAAACGTGTCAGGGTAGGAGGTCTGTCCACCCCCGATTTTCTTCTTCGAGAACATACGGAAAAGCCTCCCGCCCTGATTTTGTCCACTGCCCGTGGGGGCCCTGGGCGCGCGGTGCCCGCGCACCCTGCCGTGGCTCTAGCCTCAGGTCATGCATGCCCCCCCCCCAGGAGGGTTTCGGACGAAACATTTGACACATGCAAAACAGACCCCACGATAGGGAGAAATGCTGGACATCATCGTCCCCAGGCCATGGTTTGACCGCTTTTGAATCCTCCCCCTGCAGGAGAGGGACAGGCCCGAATGAACTCCAGCCCGCAAGCGGGCACGGCACGTGCCGCGCGCCCCCTCTGCGGGCCCGCCGGGGCGGAGCGCGCGCGCGGGCGGCGCGCTCTCCCAGCGCCTCGCTCCGCTCCGCTCCTCGGCCGCCCCCCGCTCCCGGACCCCTCGAACTTCCTCGATCCTCCCCAGCGGCGAATTGCGATCCTCGAGCTTCCTCGATCCTCGATCCTCCTCGATCCTCGACCCTCGATCAACCCCTCCACTCCACGATCCTCCTCGATCCTCGACGCCCTCCGCCGAGCTTCCGCCGGCTCCCGCCGAAGAGGTGGCAGCTCCTCCGATCCTCGGAGGCAGGGCCCTTTCCTGGAGCGCGTCGAACCACACGCCTCCTCGAGCTCTGCAGGCCTGGGCGCCGCCTCCCAGGGGCGAGCTGGAGCGGGCGCGAGCCCTCTGGGCACTGCGGTTAAGTCGGGCCTGCCCCTCTACAGGAGGAACATTCAAAAATAGTCAAAAATTGTTTGGGGCCAGTTTTTTTGTTTGTTTGTATTTTTGACCATTTGGGAATACTTTGGGGGAATCTTTTATTTCTCGTCGAAAACCCCCCTGTAGGGGGACACGCCCGACTTAACACTGCGGCCCTCCGGCGGGGGCGGCAAGATCCCGGCCGTTCAGCGGGCCGCCGCAGCTGCGGAGCTGCAGAGCGCCGTGACGCCGCCAGCTCGGCGGCCCAGCGGCGCTGGACATGCTCGGCGTGGGCAGCATCATGGGCTGCGCGCACCAGGCTTCTGGGGCCGAGTGCGCAGCGAGTCGACGGAGGACTGGCGCTCGGCACGCTGGGCTGCAGTGCCTCAGCATGCAGAAGAACCTCCGCTGGTGGACCGCCGGACGCGGCGCCACGGGGCTGCTGATCACTCGCGAATGCCCGACGGGGACCTCCGATAGAGCCAGGGATCCCCAGTCGGCGCAGGGATCCCGCAGCCGAAGGAGAGAAGCCAGTCGCGAACCGACGGTCTCCGTTTGGTGCCCGCGGGCTCTAACCCAACGAAGCGTGAAGCCTTGAGCCAAACTGGCCACGGAGGGGGACGGCGAAGGAGGGAGGCCCCGAAAGCGGCTCAACAAATCGACCTGGCACGCCTGGCAAAGCTGGGGGCCTGGGCCAGATTGCCGCGGTGCAGTCGCGAGGGCTTTAGGCGCGTTGCGCGTGACGGGTGAAGGCCAGTCACCTTCGCACACGCCCTGCACGCCAGGAGGAGGGAGGAGCGAGGGGGAGGAGCTCCTCTTGGTGCTCCCCCTTCCGAGGGGTCCTCAAACCAAGACCGCGGCTTATCTGGGACGAGCCCCCATGAGCCAATTTGCAATGATTTGCGATCATGCCCGTGACCGGCCCCGCGTCCCCCTGGTCACGTCACGATTCTCGCAAGCGCCGTCCGGGCTTATCCTTCCTTGCCATTCCCAGACGGCGCTGGCGCGAATCGTGACGTGACCGGGCCGCCCCCCCCCCCCCTGGTCACGCCCATTATCGTTGGATAAACAAGCGCTCTTTGTACGACTGGTCGTCTCGGTGTGGAACATGCACGCGGCCGCCAACGCGACCACATGACGTACCCAAGGGGGGCAGGCCGCGCCCCCCTCCTCTTCCTCCTCCTCCTCCTCCTCCGTAGCCACTTTGGCTCAAGCCCCTCCTGGCCCAGGTGGGCCATCCTCGCGCGCACGTGGGGGGGGGGCGCAGCGCGGGGGAGCCATGGGGTTCTCATGAATCAGGTGTACGTCCCCATCTCGTGCGCCACGCGTGAGTCAGGAGTGCAGCTGAAAGGCTTCATCGAGGAGCTTGGGGCCGTCGTTGTTCTCTTCCGGGACGATGGCGGGTGCCTCGTCCAAGGTGGTGCCTCTGGTGTCGGACCTCTCGTGGCAGGAGAAGCTGGAGCGGGACCAGCAGTGGCTCCTGGAGCAGCAGCAAGTGATGAAGCCTCGCGACCTGGACCTGAACATCCTCGATAGCTGGCCGACCCTGGGGGGCGCACTGATGGACTCCGTCATGCTGGGGAGCCCCACGGTGGTGGACTCGAGCTCGGAGGCGATCGAGGAGGCCCAGCACTACCAAAAGAGCAGGAAGAAACTGCCGATGCCGCTGAAGGAGTTCGTGGACGAGGAGTGTGGGGAGCCGGCGGACATCAAGGGCAAGCAGAAGCAGAAGGACGGCAGCGACTTAGTGGAGGAGTCCATTCAGCCGCGGGCCAAGAAGATGCCGATGGCGGCGTGGAGGCCATCCAAACAGGGCCTACTGCTGCTGACGGCAGCCACCAACAACAAGGTCAAGAAGGACAACAATAGAGTGGCTTGGCGACCCAGCGCGGAGACACTCGCAGGTAACCCACTACGTCAAGAAGTGGCGCTGCGGATGGTGCAGGGAAGTGAACCTGGGCTTCCGCCAGCGCTGCCGCAAGTGCTCGGAGTGGGCTCCAGCGGAGACGCAGCGCCAACAGCAGTTGCAGAAGGAGGAGCTGGCCTGCAACAGACACCAACAGCAGGAGCAGGAGGAGGATATCAAGCCGGTGGGAGAGAGGAACCGCTGGACCAGGTCGACTCCGAGTGCGACAAGCTCCACGACTGGTGGCACGAGCAGTGCAGCGAAGGCTCCCTCACAGAGTTCGGAGACGCAGAGGTGATCGACATCTCGGATCCCACGGACGACCCCATCAAGGGCCTGGAGCTCGTCGGGCGCACCTCCCGCAAGGGCAGGAGCACGAAGGGCAAGGGCAAGAAGAGGCAGCAGGACAGCCTCGCCTACCTTGAGGCGCTCTCCGACGCGCAGCTCAAGGCGCTGGCGGTCAGGAAGATCGGCTCCTGGGATGGGGTGCATCGGCGCCTTATAGCCTGGGGGTCGGATCGTAGCTGACTCCTCGTCGCCTGGGCTGGATTCGCCTCGCTGTCGGGCGCTGCCGTGGGGTGGCGCTCTCGTCTCGATCCGTCTCGGGGTTGCTGGATCCGCCTCGATTTTGCTGGCCTCCATTGGGAGGCTCTTTGGGTCTGGCTCGCCTCGTCGCCGTGCTGGTTCCCCTCGTTTTCGCTGAGCCATTGGGTTCGGCGCGCGTCTCTGCGTCGGTAGGGCCGCTTCGGGCTGTGTCCCAGGGCTAAAAGATACCAGCTGAATCATCAGAGACCTCCTCCTCCTCCTCCTCCTCCTCCTCCTCCTCCTCCTCCTCCTCCTCCTCCTCCCCCTCTCCAACCTCCTTCTCCTCGCTCCTCGCTCCTCGCTCCTCGCTCCTCGCTCCTCGCTCCTCGTTCCGCTCCTCCTCCTCCTCTCCTCCTCCTCTCCTCCTCCTCCTAGTCCTCCTCCTCCTCCTCCTCCTCCTCCTCCTCCTCCTCCTCCTCCTCCTCCTCCCCCTCACATGGCCACCTCCACCGTGCCAGGACTGTGCGGCCGCCTTTTTCGGACGCCATCTGCAGCCAACTGCTCACGGCGCTATCTGCTGCGCCCAGCCGTGCCCGACTGTCGACGCCCTCCCGGCACGGTTCTGCAGTCCCGACCGCTCCCGTGCGCCGCAAGTGTTCGCGAGGCGTGCGCGGCCACTCCCCTGAGGGGGGCTAGGAGGTTGTGAGGAGGGAGAAAATGAGGAGCAGGGGGATGAGGAAGAGGATGCTGAAGAGGATGGGCAGGGGGGGAGGAGGAGGAGGAGGAGGAGGAGGAGGAGGAGGAGGAGGAGGAGGAGGAGGAGGAGGAGGAGGAAAAGGAGGAAAAGGGGAAGAGGAGGGGGATCCTTCCAGTGCGCCGCTGCCAGCCAACCTCCAGAGTGCAACAGATGCAGGGGTTGCCTGGCAGGGAAAAGGAATTACGCCTCCCAGCTCTTGGAGGTCTTAGACGGCGGGAGGCCCTTGCAAACCCGCTGTAAAACCTCGAGCTGGTGCTTTGTGATGGCGTGCGGTCCCAGCGCGGCCACGGGACAAGGCTCCCGCAGGGAGACAGGGCGAGCTATTGCCCACGAGCCGCATTCACCGCAAAAAGTGAAGGCACCCTTCTGCCACAAAACGTGTGACGGGTGGACCGCCTTGCCAGCGACCCAAGGCGCAGCACGCTGGGGGGGCGGGTCAAGCCTCAGGCGGCGCCATAGGGCATCATCCCTGGCGGCCAGGGCCCGACCTCGCCTCGCCCACTTCTTAACAGTGACCTCCTCCGCCACCACCGACTCCGAACCCCCAACTCCACCTCCTCCACAAGCAGGGCCAGCCGAGCGGAGCCTCGCACGGTGCGAGGGGGCAGCATCGGAGATCGAAGCCTTGCACATCCCACAAGTCCAAACGCCAGAACCGAACTCCCACACGTGCGACGAACCCCTCACATCAGCTTCGATCCACGCCTGCGGAGCACAAGATCAATGGGCTGCTTGCGCAGCCTGCGCTCAGGCTCGGCCTTGAGGGCAGCACACTCGAGAATGATAGAGGCGTTACGCTTGAGGATGGCACAAGCATTGCCGACGAGCTCATTATAAGCCTGAACAACTCCATTCGGAACCTGGCATTCCCGAGCACGCAATTCAGCGAGCCCGTCAGCGCAGAGTTGAGCACAACCTGGTCCCAGTCTACAGAGTCGCCAAAACGGGCGAGCTTTTGGGGATCCTCCAACAGGTGGCTGGGAACATGAAAAAGCTGGAAGTCCCCAGGTCGCTCCGAGAGGAGCTGCCAGAATTCCCACCGGAGATCAAAATTAGCCTGCCTCGCAGAGGCAGCTCGGCCAGCCAGGAAACCTTTGACAATATTGGCATGGTCGGTGACCACGCGCAGAGCTTGGGCAGGGTCAACGCAACGAAGGCACTCAACAATGGCCGCAAGCTCTGCGCGGGGAACCGTCTGTCGAACCGAGTCGAGTACACCTGTGACTCCATAATCCCAATCGAAATCATCGCTAGGACGGAACCGCACAAAGGCAAAGGGAACTCGTCGGAGGACAGGAAACTTGGCAAACTGCCCTCCCGTGCCATCAGTGGCATAGAGGCCTCCTGGCAGACAGCCTGGGAACAAGGCCCCAGGACAACGCCGCCCCTGGAGGTCCCTGGAATCAGGCACAGGAGGGAGGTTGAACCAGGAAAGGGGAATAAGTCCTCGCATCCAGAAGCACGGGTACTGGAAAGCCTCCTGCTGGGCACCGTGTCTAAGGTGCTGAGAGTCAACAATCTCCTGGACCTGCGACGACGCATTACACATGCACTCCCAAAACCTGTGGCAGGAGGTCTCGGGGTCACGCTGGCAACGCCTACAACTAGGATCAGGAGCCATCTGGGCCTTGTGCCTTCTCTCCTCAGTCCAATAACCTCCAGAGACCAAGAGCCGAATCATAGCCGCGAGGTCCCGACGCCCATCCTTCTCGAGGGAGGCAACAAGGTCCCAGACATGGTGAAGAGAGACAGGCCCCTGGATCCCTGCGCCATCCAGGTGCTCGGAAGCCTGGCGCCACTGAAGGGTGTCGATTGAATCGTCAAAAGCCTCAAGAAGAGGGCCTAGCGGGCCGTGCCCGTCCTCCATCATCTGCCACTCGTCACCACTAGGCGCGATGAGAGTGAAAGGTGAGGGGCACTGCCATCCGACCGCCAACATCGTGGCTTGAAAAGCCGCCATCGGGCCACGAACCCAGGACCACCCTTTTCGGACCTTGGCCAAAGAGGCCGCCCAGAGACAGGCCAGGCGACGGAGGAGCCCAGGGCGGCCCGCAAGACGAGCAAACCACGACTTGACGACACGACGAACGTGCACCTGGAGGGGGTCCTGGCCATAGCCGAAAGTGAGACGGATAGCGGTCGTGGCACACACTCCTCTCTGCGGGGTCTTGCTGGCAGCACGGGCCATGCTGCGAAGGCCTTTGAGCATGGAGGGAGAAACACAATGAATCTCAGGCGCCCACATGGCCTTCGCATAAGCACTAGGAAAGAACAATTTACTGGCTTGCCTGCACGTGCGCCCAAACATGAAAATCGTACTAGTGGCATCCCGCCCCTTGGTAAAACGGGTCTTCCTGACGGCCACAGTCCTCCTGGCGCCCAGAGCGGTGTCGTGCCCCAAATCCCTGGCGGCCAGAGCCACAGAGAACTCGCAGCCTTCACCGACAGCAATCCTGGAAAGCTCAGCCCGAAGGCCTGGCGAGGACGCGAGCAAATGGGACTTTCCCAGGGACAACTCACAGCGACGCCTCCTGAGGCCAGTGAGGAGGGCTCGAAGCAGGATGGGGAACGTAGCGACGATGGACGAATGCGTGCCGAAAAGACGAGCTGAAATATCATCGACCCACTCCCGCAGCCGAAGGCCACCGACCGATCCACTGGCCCCTGCGAGGGGTTGGTGCAAATGGGCTCGCGCAAGGGAGGTGGCCTGGCCACATCCAGCCAACGTGCCCCCATTGGCAAGGATCCCAGGATGGACTGCCCCCTCCAACGACAAATGCCGAACTCCCAAGTAGATATCGATGGCCAAAGCCAACAGACGGAGTGGGTAATCAAATTCTCGAGCCGCTTCCACCAAGTCCTTAAGACAGACTTGGTCATAGTACTTCTTCATATCCAGCAAAAAGCCCCCGACCTGGAAACCGCTGCGGAGGGCAAGTTCCGTTTCAAGCTCATCGAGCCAACCAGCTACGTCGGCCGAGCCCCCAACGGTCTGGCCCCAGGGCCCATGCGCCCCACGGTCCCAAGCCGTGATGAAAGGCTTCCTGACGCGCAAAAGAAGCGTATAAACAAAGCCGAGCAGCGCTATTGGCTTAACTCCCCCGTCAGGCTTCGGAATGAGGGCAATCAAGGCAAAAAGCTGCTGGAAAGGCAAAGTGCACTGCTCCTCAATGGACTCTAGAAGCTGAATGGGGTGGAGCTTGGCCTCGTCACCAGCCTCCTTGATTAAGCGCGGCTCAATAAAATCCAAGCCCTGACCCCTGGAGTCAGGCAACGACTTGAGCGCACGATTAAGGGCGTCCAGGTCGATGGGTGGCAAACGCGGGGACGACCGAGCACACTTACGCAGGGCAGCTAACGCAGCCCGCGCCTCGCCCTTGTCGTGCTGTTGCCAGATGGCCGTCCAAGCGGCCGCTTCAAATTCTAGGAGCTGATCTAAGGCTAAGCAGGGTCCTTCCTCACCGATCTTTTCGGCCTCCAGAGGGTCCAGGGGTGGCTTCAACAACCGATGGGCCGGCCCCGCAGACCTGCAAAGCGCCCCCTGGAGCCAGGCCTTCCACGAAGCCTTCTGAGCCTGAAGAGCGTCACGGTGGGATTTTTCAGACACCTGCTGGAGCTCAGCTAGCAAGTCTTGCAGCCCGTCGAACGGCAGCTCAGAAATACGCTGAAAACGAATCTTCCACAAGTTAAGGTTCCACACTGACCCGCATCGGAAGGGTCAGACGGGGGAGGGGGCACCTGCCGAGAAAGCCAAGCCAAAGTGGCACGAAATTGAGCTGCATGCTTACGGTCAGGCTGCGGCGGGATATCCTCTATGGAATCCTGCGGGACAAGCTTAAGCAACAGCCTGAGCTTGACAAAGGCAGCTTGCCAGAAACGGGCGCCACGGTCAGCCTGGCAAGGCCCCTCAACCTGGGCGGCCGTGAGGGGCACCAAACGCAGCCTGGGCTCCTGGCAACGACCTATAAACTGGAACACCTGATCCTGGGCCAAACCAAGCTTCGAGAAAGCCTCAAGCTCCAGAGCAACAATCCAGGTAGACAACTGGGTACCTAAATCGAGAGAGACCTGGATGTTGTCATGCTCGAGCTTGAGGAGACTGGCAGCGGCATAGTTGGCCTTGAAGAAGCCTGGCCGCTTACGTTGCAGCAGCTGCGCCTGCACCAGGAAGTGCGGCCAGGCTTCAACAGGGGCAGCAACGCCTTTGACAGGAATGGGCTTAGGTCGCATGGCCTTCCAAACCATGATGGCCCTGGGGGAAGCCGAGACCTGACATTCCAAAGCGGCGTGAGTGCCCCAAGGCACTGGAACGAGCGACCTAAACTGGACGGCACTAGAGAAGCTAGCAGAGACCAAAGCGTAATCGATCCGACTGGTGGAGACCCCAGAGCAAGTAACCGAAACACCAGGCATAGGAACAGGGACGAGGCCGAGAGGCTCCAGCCAACCTGACTCCTCAAGAACACTCTGGTCCACCTGCCAGTCGCCCACCACAATGGCGGGAACACCTGCCGCGCTCAGATGGGCGCCGAGGTCCGCCAGCAGCTCGAATTTCTGACCGCTGAGCTCACCCCCCGTGACCAGGTAGACAGGGGCGATCGTCAGGGAAACCTTCCGAAGCCTCAGAGTACACAGCAACCACCGAGCCGTACCAGCCGTTTCATTCACCCGCCTCGCATGTCAACTGTGAGAGCCCAAGATGAGAGCGCGCGGCAACAAGAACACCTGACGATGCATCATCAGCGAGCGCGGGCGCAGCGGCCTGCGCCACAACCTTCCAGCCCAGCTTGTGTAGCTTCTTGGCCATCGCCTGGTACTTGGATCCGCGCATCCTGTGCTCGACAAAAAATGAGGATGTCTGCCGAGCATGCTGCAACCCACCTGCAAGCGGTTGGGCCCCACACGCTGATGTTGGAATAGACAATGGACAAAGAACGCTGAGGGGCGGTGTCGCTGTCGGGGTCAGGCCCCGGCCCCTGACTCTCATCGTCATGCGAATCCAGCAAAACGGGCTCGCCGCCTGATCCACGAGGGGCACCGCTGGGCGATTGCTCCAACCCCGTGGGCCGCAGGGAAGGGTTCGACGGCCCTGCGACGAAAGAACCTGGCGAACCAGGATTTCCAGCAGCACAGACAGGCGATCCACCAATAGCGACAGTAATCCCAGGGCCTGAGGCACGACGGTTGGGGGAAGTGTCAAACTCACGTTCAGCAAGGACCATGGAGCGGGCGTGGCGACGAAGTTCCTCTTCCCATGCATCAGGGTCTGACTGCGAAAGCAGGCGCGTGTTGGCATGGTGGCGAGCCCTCGCACTCCTCCTGGACCTCCAGGCCGAGAGACAGATGTCATGAGCCATGTCACGCCTCACGATAGCCAAGTTCTCAATGCCAGTCCGAGCCGACTGCTCCAAGACGAGAGCCAGGTAAACATCCTGGGAAAGCAAGTCAGAAACGTAAGTGACACATAAACGCATCCAGTGAGCTTGGTTGCTAGGCTCATCCAACAGACACGGGTCCTGGAGCCAGAAGTTTGTGTATAACCGAAGACGACGCTCCATAATAAGTCGCTGACGAATGGCCTCACGCCGTTCAGGATCCTGGTCCTTGCAGGCGAGGACAGAGTTCGCGGCGTGCCCTGCAGCGGGCTCCCGCAGGACCGCGCACCCTTGGGAGTGAGGGGCCGTTCCCTCTCCAGCGGCGCCACCCACATCACGCGCCTTCTGGAGCCAGCGCGACCGCCTGCCTGCCCTTGAAGTCGAAGAGCACGGGGCCGAGGTCGTCGCCGAGCCCAAAGCAGTAGATGCAGCAACCGTCGAAGTAGTGGCCGTGCCGCAAGCACATGTGGCGTCGTCTGCCGAGCCTCCAGCAAGACTCGCGCCGCGGGAATCCGTGCTGAGGTCTTGGCAGAGCCGACCTGCAGCAGGTGCCGTCCGCGGGGTCATTGCCTTCGCAGGCACGGTGAGTGAGCGCCCATCGCATGAAACCGACGAGGACGCAGTAGCACCAGGAGAGGTCGTCACAAACAGGAAAGAAGAAGAGCCGCCTGCCGTCGAAGTGGACGGCACAGAGGAAAGTGAACATGAGGAGGCCGATCTTGAGAGCACACCGCCAGGATAGCTGCAGGTAGAACAGCTATCACACGCTTGACCATCACCAGCAGAGCTAGGAGCCCGACTCACGAGCCTCAACCTCGGCCCGAGCAGCAGCAGCCTTAGCCCGTGCGAGAGTGTCAGCGCGCGCCTTCTCGATCCTCTTCTCCTTGTCGGTCGGCACGGCAGGGGCCTCAGCAGCCAAGGGCTCAGCCTTCGGCGCATCAGCCGCAGGCGCCTGAGAGGAAGCGGCGCTCTGGCTGCCCGCACCTTGAGAAGCCGCGACCCCTGTTGCAACCGCGCCATCAGTAGTCTTGCGTTTCTTACGCAGCTCACCCATCCGCTTCTGGTATTCCTCCTGGTGCGTCTTGTACTGAGATTTAATGCTCGTGAGCGCTCCGTGCAAGAAGGTCTTGACCTGCTGGGACTGCTCAAGCTTGAACTTCTCAAATCCCTCGCGGTCCTCGGCCGAGAAGGCCGGCCCCGAGACGTCCAGCTCTTCACCAAAGTCGAGCTTGATCTCATCAGCAGAGTCCTTGAAGAGGGCGTCGAGGGAAATGACGTTCTTGCTGGAAATGGGCTCAGCAGGCTTGAGAACTCCGACGGCAAGCTTACGAGTGGCCTGCTCAAGTATGTCAGCGTTCCCCAGATCCCTCGCCATGAGCTCTTTAAGGTGCTTGTCCAGGTCACTGACCTCCTTGTCCAGCGCCGCGCGTCGCGCCAGGGCCTTGTCGAGCTTCTCCTTGCACGCCTTCTTGGCCTGCGATGCACGTTGCCACTCGGCCTGAGGTGTCGCCTGGGGCTGGGGCGGAGGCTTGGGCACGAACTGAGCGAGCAACTTCTGGGCCAGGTCGGGCGCGAGGTGCGAAGCAGCCTCCTTGACAGCCGCGAGAGCTTGAGGAGGAATGGCTTCGGAGGGGCCCTGCTGCACCTGCTGCGCCTGGGTACCCTTGCGCCAGCGACCCTTGGACTTGCCGCCTCCCTCACCCCATCCAGACTCCTCACCGCCGGTGTACAGAAGCATCTGGCCGCCGCCGCCGACAGAGGAGCTGAGCGGGTGGCACTGGGACTGGCACCCGACGCAGAGATTGTGCCGCTTGGCCAGGAGATCGTTCCAAGTCCAGTGGCCACAAGAGCACACAGTGCAAAGCCGAGCGCCACGATTCTGCCCAGCCTTGGCGCCCCCAGGCGGAACTCGGATCCAGGGCTGCCTCGTCCAGGTTTCCTCCGCATCATCGGGGATACGCCACGGGGCGGGGGCCATCGCAGCGCCGTAGCAACTAGCTCCGTCAGGAGCACACGGAAGATGGGCTGCCAGAGGCCCGTGCAGTACTGGCAAAAGCTGTGAGGCACAAGGCCTTGGCACTGCTGCGGACTAGCAGCTTCCAGTTCGGCACGAGGGCGCAGAGCCCTCAGGTGCAGCACTCTTGAGCCAAAATGGCTACGGAGGAAGAGGAGGGGGAAGAGGAGGAGGAGGAGGAGGAAGAGGAGGAGGAGGCGGAGGAGGAGGAGGAGGAGGAGGTCGACGACGACGAAGCGAGTCAGCCAAAAGTCGTGCATGCAGCTGCAAGGATGGGCGGTAGGATAGGGACGCGCGGATGCCGCGGGGCCGAGGGAAGTCGCGGTCAAGAGGGAGGGGCGAAAAACAACAAACTGGGAGAATAACCGACTGGGAGGACAAAGAGCAAGCCAACGAGGGTGCAGTCAGATCGATACCCTGAGAAGCACATGGAGCGCACTGAGGGGGGGGGCCATGTGGCAGACGGAAACGGAAGGCCACATGCCGCGCACGCGCCGACGCGAGGAGCGCACTGGATGCAGTGCGTGCTCGGAGGCGCCGTGGCAAAATAATCTGCGCACACGCTCGCCGCGCATCAGTGTTAGGTCGGGCATGTCTTCCCACAGGCGGATTCTGGGCGAACACCGAAACATAATCCGGAAATGCCCCAAGAAGAGTCAAACATGGTCGAACAATCGTCCCCAGACGATGTTTTGATTATTTTTGAACACCTATACGACCACCCTTCGGGTGATAAGGAGGTTCGGGGGGAGCAACCAACGTCTCACTCGATCGGTCTCACTATCAATCTCACTATCGATCTCACTTTCGGTCGCTCAATCGATCTCACTCGATCGATCTCACAATCGATCTCCCTCGACCTATTTCATTCGATCGATCTCACAATCGATCTAACTATAGATCGATTTCACAATCGATCTCACTATCGATCTCACTATCGATATCACAATCGATCTCACATTCGGTCCCACTACCGATCTCATTATCGATATCACAATCGATCTCACAATCAACGTTATCATCATCATCACCATCATCGTCATCAACGTTGTCAACATCATCACCATCATCGTCATCATCATCGGAAAACCATACTCATCAGCACCACCTCATCACCACCATCAACATGATCATCATCACCATCACCACCATCATCGTCACAATCATCATCACCATCATCATCATCATCATCATCATCATCATCGGGACACCATCATCATCAACATCATCATCACCATCATCGGTCCACCATCATCAAAATCACCATCATCACCTCATCATCATCCTCATCATCAACACCATCATCATCGGGACACCATCATCGTCATCACCATCAACATCGTCATCATCCGGACACTATCATCATCACCATCTTCATCAACAGCACCATCATCAACCTCATCATCACCGGCACACCATCATCCTCATCATCTTCATCATCATCTCACCACATCACCATCATCAACATCACCCGGATAATCAAGATCATCATCACCATCGGGACACCACTATCAACATCAGCAACATCATCATCACCATCACCATGATCGGGACACCATCATCGTCACCACCATCACAATCATCATCATCATCATCATCATCATCATCATCATCATCATCATCAGCATCATTATCAGCATCATCAACATCGTCAATCGCATCATCATCATGTGGAGACCATCATCATCACCATCACCATCACCATCATCATCATCAACATCACCATCAACATCATCGACATCACCATCATCATCATCGGGACACCGGCGGGACACCGGCGGGACACCACGGGCCACCGTCCCCCAGAAAGGAATCATTTGGTCCGGCCGCGCCTCAGCCAGAAGCGGGACACCGGCGGGACACCGCGGGCCACCGGCCCCCGGGAAACAATCATTTGGTCCAGCCGCGCCTCAGCCGGAGGAGACTTTCTTCTCGCCCGCCCACGCAGCTTCGCCTCGCCCGCACGCACGGCACGCACGAGCACGAAACCGAAACCAATTTCCCAGAGGGGGGCTCTCCGTTCCACTTCAATCTCACCCCCTCACCTCCGATTCCTCCTGTAGAAAGGGCCCGACTTAACGTTGGGGACGGCGGGAGAGCAACGCACAGAGAAAAGGCCATGCAGCAGCGGAAGGCTGGTTGCGAGAGCAGCGGCCGAGCACGAGAGGCCCCCTCGCCGGAGGCTCGTGGTCCCACATAGACATCCCTCCTCCTGCTCGTCCTCCTCCTCCTCCGCCACCTCCTCCTCCTCCTCCTCCTCCTCCTCCTCCTCCCTTTCACCTCCTCCTCCTCCTCCTCCTCCTCCTCCTCCTGCTCCTCCTCCTCCTCCGCCTACCACTTCCCCTCTCCACCCCCTCTCCACCCCCTTCTCCTCGATAATCCTCCTTTTCCTCCTCCTCCTCCTTCTCCTCGATACTCTTCCTCGATACTCCTCCTCGATACCTCTGCATGGTCCTTTTCCTTATAAATCGGTTCTTCTTGTCGCACTCCGAAGCCGATTTTGGGGGCGGGCCCGGCGTTTCGCCTGAGACCTCTTCACCATTCATGACTCTGAAGCTTAATATTTGGCAACCGTTCCACACATGGAGGGCGGACCGTTTGCAAACTGTGGCTCTCGCCTTAGCGCGGCGCGCATGATATAAAAAACAACGAAAAATGCAAGAGCTTCACGGATTGAGGGCGAATCGTCTTCAACATGTGGCTCTCGCCTTAGCGCCGCGTACATTCGTTTAGCGATTTTGCAAGGGTTCCCCGAATTCCCAGCATCAGCGTACTAGACATGGTCTTTTGGAACTATTCAGAATTTTGCGGGAGCATAGGTTACGTTGATTACCTGTGTTGATGTCCCAGGAATGGCCGGAAGAAGTCAACCGTTGTGAGCGGCCTATGAAGAGGGAGCTTGGAGGGAGGGTTTATCCCAGCATTGTTGATGACTCTTGGTTGTGCGCTGGTCGTTCTGCTCCTCCTCCTGATGCCCCGAACGAGGAGCATCCCGTAGTGGAAAACCCAGCACAACGTAAAAAGACAGCTCCCACAAGACATGAGGGTACAGTCCAAACGCTGTCATAAGGAACTTTCAATGAGGAGCGATCTTCCGAACGTCAAACTTCGATTTACCATAGAAAACCCAAGGAACACCCAAGACAAACTGTAACACACTTACGGAACATTGAGCCCCTCCCAAACGAAGAGGGCTCCTTCTTCAGCGGCCCGACTGTACACCTTCAATGCCAGGGTTGTCCTGAGCCCTCGTGCCAGCTGCATGCTAAGCGTTCCCCCCATCAAGCAATGTATCCTCGCCCATGCTGGAGTCTCGCACTCAACCGCCTCGTGCTCCTCCTGTACCTCACCTCATCCTCTTCCACCTAATCCACCCGTCTTCCAAGGCGTTCAAGCCCCGTTTGTCTAATGCGTTCGAGGACCATTGGGCAGAGTGTCGCCCCGTTTGTCGAATGTGTTCGAAGATGATTGGGCAGAGTTCCGCTATCTGAATCGAGGTGTGTTCGACGACTTCGTGTGCGATCGAATAGTTGACACCTGTTGCTCCTCCTCATCTCATCCTCTTCCACCTCACCCACCCGTCTTCCCAGACCTCCAACGCCCCGTTTGTCTGCTGTGCCCATGTTTCTTCAGCACGGGCCCCCGAGGGGTGCCGACCCCCTCCCCGGGCCGTTGCTGTTCAGAGCTGCTTGGCGGCCACGGGGTACGATAATGGGCCTTAAATCACACACAGAACATCATGCTGGGCCGATATTCATTCTCACGACGCTGGGGAATCGCTGGAGCTTCCGACGACATATTCGCAAGGCCCATCTCCCAGGAGCCAGCAGCGGGGTGGAGGGCGCCGCCTGGATAGTGGTGTACGTCGACGAGTGTGTGTGTGTGTGAGAGGGAGAGAGAGAGAGAGAGAGAGAGAGAAAAACAAAAAAAGAGAGTGAGTGTGTGAGTGTGAGTCTTTGTCTGTGTGTGTGGGTGTGTGAGAGTGTGTGTGTGTGTGTGCGTGTGCGTGTGCGTGTGTGTTTGTTTGTTTGTTTGTTTGTTTGTTTGTTTGTTTGTTTGTTTGTGTGTGTGTGTGTGTTCTTGCTTCGCCTCGTCGTCGCGCGCGAGGCCGCAGCCACCAAAAGTGTGTGTGTGTGTATGTGTGCATGTGTGTGTGTTGGATCTCCAGACGTGGGGAGCCGATCTGCTCTGGCCCATCCCAAGGGCCGATCGGGGTTGTCACGCGTGCGCCCCCGAGCAGAGCCCGCTTCACCATCGGCCGACGATGCACCCCCACCCAAGCAGCGTGCGCTGCTCTTGCCCGCTCCACCCGTTGATGGTGACCCGGCCGAGGAGGCAGCCCGGCTGGACCTCATCGACCGCGTCAACGCCATTAGGGGAATAAACAATGACATAATCATAACATCTCGGAAGTCCGCGCGGATTTCTCGGACCCACGCTGGACCCCCCTGACGGCGCCTCTGGCGCGCCCCTGGCGCGCAGAGCGCGCCAGGGAGAGGGGTCCAGCGCGGATCCGAGAAACCCGCGCGGACCTCCGAGTTGTTATGTTATGTCCTTGTTCGTTCCCCTAGCCATGCAGGCCGAAGGGGCCCCTGCTGCGTCCCAGGCCACCCTCCAGCGGCGAGACTGGGTCCACGAGCACGGGCCCGCCCTGGTGGGGAGACCTCGCCCGGACCCAAGCCGATGCGCGGCCGAGCAGCTGAGCGGCTTCCTCCTCAGCGTCCCCGCCACGTGGCTCCCCGCTGACTACCTACCAGACCACCCCAACTCAACCCGAAGACCCGCATTTGAGCCGAATTTCAAATTGGGGAGGGGTACGGGTTCCATGTGTGTTTTCAATGTTCCCCGACCCCCCCCCATTGGAAATGGAGGGCAAATTGAGGCCTTCGGTTATGTTGTTCCCATCCTACTTAAGGACCGCATCCCAGAAATAGTTTCGAGCACCCAGAAAAGTGTCAAAATAATGTCGAAACAGTGTCGGGCGAGTGTCTCCCAGGGCCCGACACGTGAAAACCCTTGAGTTTCGGTAATTTTGCTGGCGCTGGTGATCAAGGCTAAAATAGGTTGGCGCATCATAAGCCTTCGGGTTGGGCTGGGGTGGTCTGGTAGGTGGTGACCCGCTGCTGCGCGCACGGCGCCGGCGTTGGGGCCGAACTCGCAGCAGCGAGGCGCCTCTCGCCATCCGCCTCGGCCCAGCCGCCCCCGACCGCGCCACTCCGCGAGCGGGGGCGCCTGCGGCTGCGCCCTGGGCCGCTGCCACCCTCCCTGCGGTGCTCGCGCTCTCCCCGCCTGCCCCACCCTGGGAGGAGGAGGAGGAGGAGGAGGAGGAGGAGGAGGAGGAGGAGGAGGAGGAGGAGGAGGAGGAGGAGGATGCTCCCTTTTTCCAGCTCAGGCGGGCCAGGTGGCGAGGCTTCGAGACGCTGCAGGCGCAAGAGGCTGCCGCCCGGGGATCTCCGACCCGCGGGCGGCCACGGACATCAACTGAAATTTCGGACTCATGCAAAGAACAGGGGAAAGCGGGGGGGGGAGGGAGGGAGCTTGAGCGAAAACGTCAACGGAAGATCGCAGACGGGCGGCCAGCAACGCTTCTCAAGGAGCAACCCTGTTCGGAGAACGACTTATGCTCCCTTTTTCCAGCTCAGGCGGGCCAGGTGGCGAGGCTTCGAGACGCTGCAGGCGCAAGAGGCTGCCGCCCGGGGATCTCCGACCCGCGGGCGGCCACGGACATCAACTGAAATTTCGGACTCATGCAAAATGCTGCAAATTGCACAGCTGAACTGGCAACGCCGAGAATGCATTTACTGAAAAGCCAGAATATTCACGGGCCTTCGAGCGCTCGAGCAGCGCGGCCAATCAAAGCGGAGAACTGCCCAGCCCGGGACCTGGCCTTTTCATCTGCGTACGCTCTGGCGAGGATATTGCAGAGCTTACGAGGATATGCTTCGGCCAACTTTGTGCGGAACCTGCCTGAAGCGTCTTTCCCGGACAGCTCCTGATGCTTCTGCCCTGTGATGACACAGACGGGCCCTACACACCTGAATTTGGCCAAGGGCGCCAGGTCGAGGAGAAACGCCACGATCTTGGTGCTCTTCCTCCAGGGCGCCCCGAACCGGCAGTACTCGATCACCTGGGACGTGACCTGCTGGCGTCGGAGCAGGGCAAGCATTGGCGGCAGCTGCCACGCGTAGCTCAGCGCGGGGTTCTCAAGGGACCAAGGGACGAAACACTGGCAGCACAGCACGCAGAACGAGATCGTGAGCCGCGCGTACAAGTTGCCCCACTTCACTTTCTGGAAGTCGACGCCCTCGATGGGGAGACTGGGCAGCCCCCAGACGTGCTCCTGCGACCGGAGACGGGGTGGGCCGTTGGGGCGGTCCCGTGCCCGCGAGAAAGTCTCGCAGGGAAAGCCAGCATGCAGGCCGCAGACGAGCCCCGCCCGAATCCAGCCCCGAATGAGGCGGGCGTTCCTGGGGTCGCGCAGGTCGTAGGCGGGGCCGTACAAGATGTCCCAGCGCAGGGTGGGGACGTTCCCCCGTCCCACGGCGTCGGACAGGTGGCCCGAGCCTGCGAACAGCTCGAGGAACACGGCGATGGTCGGCGCCCTCAGCGGCCCAAGGATGGCGCCTGCCTCCCCCGCGGCACGTCGGGGAGCACCTGAGCGGTCGCCGCGGCCGCCCGCTGCGCGTCGGGCGGCAGGCGGCGCAAGAGGGCGGCCAGGCGCCCCCCGTGCCAGTAGCGCCGGAGGCTCAGGGTTGACCGCCACCGCTCGCGGCGCTGGAGCTTCACCAGCCGCCGGGCGCCGGTCGCGGAGGCGACGCTCGCCCCCGTGTGCCGGAAGCGGCAGGCCTCGAGCAGCCCGATGGGGCCCCAGGCGCCAGGCAGCGGCGGCCTCGTCCAGGGCCCGACGCAGGGCGCAGGGCGAGAGATCCAGCAAGGGTCCCGCGCTGCGCGCCAGCACCAGCCTCACCAGGGCGTCCGCGAGCGCCGCCTGCCGGTCGAGGTCGACGACGATCGCCTGGTCGAACTCCCGGCTCTTGGGCGGGGTCCGCATCTCGATCAGGTGGAGCAGCACCGATGTGGGAGTCCTCTCGCGGGCTCCGCTGAGGGCTCCCGCCACCACGGCGCGGCTCCGTAGCAGGAATGGCTCCCCCGGGCGCGAGATCAGCTCCATCATCCTGAGGCCCGCCAGCGAGTGGGGTCGCAGCCTCTGGCGGTTCATCCAGCTCGCCAGCAGCGCTACCACGTCGTAGGGCAGGGGCAGGCGGCCTCCCGCCGGGGCAGCACGGCGCTTTCCCCGCGGGCACTGCCGGCAGATGGGCATCCGCCTGTCCCCCAGCCTGCTGAGGCGGGGCCTGGCCCACCGCACCGACGCCAGAAGCTTCTCGCCCGCGCTCAGCGAGCCGCCTCCCTTGAACATGATCTCCATCCAGCCCGCGGAGGAGATGTCCCTCTCCTTTCCGGTGATCGGGCGGTCCCTGCGGGAGTTGGAGAACCTGCGCAGGGCGGCCAGGTAGAGAGAGTACTGGGCCTGAATCTTTGCCGATGCCGAGGCCCTCCGAAGCAAACCCATCCGGGCCTCCATGGCCCGCCCAGCAGCCAGCTCGGCAGCGCGCCCCGCCCGCACCTGCGCCGCTGCCGCCCGCGGGCCCCCAGCTTCCAGGGGGGCCGAGGCCGGGGGGGGGGCCGACCCCGAGCTGGGCAGCGGCGGCAGGCGCCCCGCGGGGGTCGTCGACCTGTCGGACCTGCCGCGCGCCAGCCTCACGGCCCTCGTCGGCGGCGGCTGCGAGCTCGCGCCGCAGGCCGGCAAGCGGATCGCTCGGCGCCGGGCGGCCGCGCGACGGCCCGTCCGCAGGGTTGAGCTCCGACGCGATCCAGCGCGACCGCAGGAGGCTGCCGGTCCCCAGCAGCAGGGCGCCCAGCCGGCGGGTCACCGAGAGCATGCCTTCGGAGGAGGACCGCCCCTTCGCGGCGGCCAGGGAGGCGGAGATCGAGTCCCCTATCACGAGCAGCCTCGAGCCCAAGTTGGCGACGGACCTCAGGAGGTGGCGGACCCCGTACAACAGCGCCTCCGCTTCCAGGGCCGGCATAGACCCCGAGGGCCGTCTCCACTTCTGCCTCCCGCACACCTTCCAGGGGGTCCTCAAGAGGTCCAAGGGGACGTCCTCGAACGGCTCCCGGTGCCGGCGGTCGAACTCGCTTTCGGGCCGGTCTCGCCGAGTCTGGGGCCGCACGTGCTCCATTAGGATCCGCCCGTCGGCCTCCCCTTCACCCCCGTGCAGCTGCGCAGCGGCCGCGGCGAAAGCACGCTCTCGGGGTGGCAGCCCCTCTCGGGCCGCCTCCCGAGCCCCAGCTCGCTCCGAGTGTGGGCAGGCCTCCTTGACCAGGGCCACCGGCGGTCGTCCCCGAACGGCCCCAAGGCCCCACGGCGATGCGTCCACCACAACGACGTCAGGACAGGTACCTGCTGAAGTGTTGACCCAGATGAGCGGGGCGATACGGTCCCAGGTGTCGAGCTCCTTCCGCGCTGAGGCCCAGAGGGCCCGAGGCCCCCGGGCTGGGCATCTCCGCGCGGCCTCACAAAACCTGTAACAATATTTGAAGACGCTGAGCGACTCTCGCCTACACAGGCCGATGAAACACAAATGGCCCAGGAGGCGCTCCAGGTCCCCTCCAGAGACCGAGGCCCGCGCCAAAAGACCCCGAATGGCGAGACGAGCCTTCCAGACGCGCTCGGGGGTCGGGCGGAAGGTGCGCCGAAGGCAGTCGATCTCCCACCCCAGCACGACATCCCGACCGCATGAGACAGAGTCTTTATGCAGAGGCAGCCCGCGGGCCTCGAGGGCTCGAGACACTCCTGCCAAGCGCTCGCGGACCACCGCCTCGCTCGTCGAAAACACAACATAGTTATCAACGTACTGCGCATGAGGGGAGGAGGCGAGGGGAGGCGGAGGAGAGCCGTCAGCGAGCCGGGCAGCAGCAGGGGATCCTCCCTCCTCGGCCGCCCGCTCGTGGATAGCCTGGCACCACCACAGGGCCCAAGACCAGCCCATGGGCAGGGCCCGCATCCGAGGGGTGACCCAGGTCCCCGGGGACACCCGGACGCCCCGGAGATGAGAGATGCCCGCCCACGAGGCCCGAATTTTTCGCAGCCCGAAGAACTGCCGGAGCCCCGCCGGGAGCTCCATGTGATAGAAAGCGTCTTTTATATCGACCTGGCCGATAAAAACGGGCTGACCGAAAGACTCCTCGTCATGCACTTGCCAGGGTATCGCCAGACACTAAACTGACAGGGGCGGGAGGCTCAAAATGCTGATTAGACCGACGACAGTCGACGACCAGGCGCTGCCTGCCGCCACCCTTCTTCACAAAGAAGCAATCCACCACCTCGGTAGCCCGCTCGAGCGTCAGCTCAACTACGCCAGCTTCGACCAATCGCTGAATGAATTCGCCGTATAGAGCAGGGGAGCGGAGGCGAGGGTCGCCGTAGGGCCGACGGGGGCCCGAGTCCTTTAATTTCGCGCGAGCCACGTCGATGGGCAAAACTTGCGACTCAACAAAGCGTGCAACAGTGCTTTCCCCGCCGGATCCCCAAAGCCGAGCGAGCGGAGTCGGAACCGACCCAGCTGCTGGGAGGGACACGCGGGAGGCTTCATAGCCCACGGGGCCCCCTCCTGCGTCGTAGGGGAGGCCGAGGCGCAGCGCCTGGAGGGCTGCCGCCTGCGACAAATCATCCGGGGGAGGCCCCAGGAAAGAGACAGAGGATTCAACATGCTCGAGCATACGCTGCTGCCCGCGGCTCAGCTCAGTTGGCACAGGTACCCCATCGCGACGGCCGTACAGCGTGTTGAGACCCTCCAAGCACCGAAGAACGTCGGCGTGACGACGCTGCCGACGGCCGACTCTCTGCCGGCAACCTCGCGAGAGCCCAGGCGCAGGTGGCCCCGGCGAGGTGAGGAGCTCCGTGGGGAAGGGCAGCAGGTCCATTCCCACGTTCCTGTCAAAATCTCCCGGCGGCGCGACGGCTGGCCGAGCATCCCCAGTCATGTTGGGTTCTCCCCCTCCAGACCTGAGGGGCGTCTGGGGGGGGCGGTCGGGCATCACCCCTGGCCCTGCCCCTGGCCCTGCGTCCGCCAGCCCAGCGACTCCCGGGCCTCACGCGCCTTCAGGAGGCCCCTGGCCAGCGAGGCGTCGCGCTCCAGCCCCAGCTTGACGCTCTCGAGGGGCGCGGGCGACACCCTGAGCCTCGGCGCGGCCCGGGCGGTGGCGCCGAAGGCGGCCCGCTCGTCGGCGGGGGGCCTCCCCCCGGGAGAGCCCGCCGTCCTCTCGCGCCGCTTGTCGCAGTAGCAGTACTCGATCGTCTGCAGCCGGCGGGGCATCTCCTCCGCCGATAGGACATGGGACGCGTCCACCTGATCGTGCTGGAGCAACGCCTCTAAGTAGCTGATCCCCCTGGCGTACTCTTCCATGCCCCACTGAGTGTCCCGCAGGCCGCGCCGCTTCTTGCCGTGCGCGAAGTGGGGCTCGAGCGGGCGGCCTTCGCATGCGAGGTGCTCGAGGCCCCACTTGGTCGTCCTCGGCGCGATGACGTCGGAGAGGAGCTCCTGGCGGCCGCCCTCGACGGGCCTCTCGAGCGTCCGGAAGGGCCTGCCCGCACGATCGAGGCGGACCGACAACAGGAGGCAGCCGGGCGCCACCGCTTGGTCGGCGGAGTCCGACTCGTCACCGACGGTGTCCCACTCGACGAAGAACGACGACCCATCTGCGAATGGAGCGACTCCTCGGGCGGGAGTGCCCGTCCCCGCGGAGACAGCCGGGGGGGAGATCACGTCGCCGTAGTGGTAGCCCCTCCACTCCTGGGCGACGCGCCAGTTGACCACGGGCGCGGGGACGGCGCCCCCGGCGCCTCCCGCCAGCACCGGGGGCCGGGCCGGCGCGACCACGCCCGCTGCGAGGGCTGCCCCCGCGGGCGCCGGCGCAGCGCCCGCCCCTCCGCCGCCCGCGGCCGGCGCAGCCGCCGCGGCCGCGCCCCCTCGGCGCATCCTCTCGCCCAGCTGGGGCGCAGGCACCGGGGCGGCGGGCGCTGCGGCGGGCGGCGGGGCATTCGCCGGCTCGACGTCCCAGCCCCCGCCCGGCGGCCTGCCGGCGGCGGGCAGCCCGGCCGGGGCGGCCCCGACAGCGGCAGCCGGCGCCCCAAGTTCAGTCCAGGGCCACGCCTCGAAGACGGACGCCGGCACGGCCTCGCCGGGGTGGCGCCGTACCAAGCAGCGCCGACCCTCTGCCTGGGCGTCGGGGGGGCAGGCCGCCACCTCTGTCGCGGTCGGGGGGCTCGCGAAGCGGTAGGCCCGCTCGACGCCCGGAGGCCTGGGGGCCAGGGCGGGTGCCCACCTCACCGCGGAGGTATACCACCTGGGCCTTCCCGTCCAGCGCGGGCTCGGCGCCGGCGGCACCAGCAGCCACCGCCCCACCGTCCAAGGTCGCCGAGCGCGAAGCCGATCACAAGCGACGCCGCGGTCGTCCTCCAGGCCGCTGCTACCGTCGGGGCCCCGGACGCCGCGGGGGGGGCGAGCCGCCTCCTGCTGCGACCACTGAGGAGCCGGCGCCCCGGGGCGGGCCGGGCAGGGCGGCACTGCGGGGCAGCCGCGATGGCAGCCCGGGCGCGCCAGCGGCGGCCACGGCGGCGGCGGGGATGCCCGACTCAACCAGGAGGCCACGCCATGCGAGAGCAGGGTGAAGGCTCCGACCGCCCACGGGTGCACCATGCCCCGCGGGGAAAAGCTTGAGCGAAAACGTCAACGGAAGATCGCAAACGGGCGGCCAGCAACGCTTCTCAAGGAGCAACCCTGTTCGGAGAACGACTTAGGAGGAGGAGGAGGAGGAGGAGGAGGAGGAGGAGGAGGAGGAGGAGGAGGAGGAGGAGGAGGGTGCGCCCAAGAGGCAGGGCTGAGGCACACCCGCCGGCACCGCCAGGGACCTGCGCCGCGCCTGCGCGGCGACTGAGCCCTGCAGCCGCCCTCCCTCTCAGGCGAGTGGAAGGATCACCTCCCCAGTTCGATGATCCTCAGAGAGTGTGTCAGCGCCAATGTGTGCTTTCCCACTCGAGGCCCTTCACTACGACGAGGGCGATTTGAGGATCGACCGGCTGGGTTGAACGGGGCACGAATTGGACTAACATGCGTTCTGAGGATCACCTCCCCAGTGCGCAGCGGGAGTCTGAGGGCGCGCAGGACTGTGGCCCCGTCCGAACCAAGCACCCCCAGAATCGAATCGATGAAACGGATCGGCGATCGAAATGAATCGGATCTACAGAAATCGGCAGCCGAGCCGGGAAAAATCGAATCGGCGGGAATTGACAGGTTAGTAGGCCTCCATTGAGAAATCGGAGCCAACATTGGAACAAGACGGCCCAAGAGGCCCCGAAGACCGCCCAAAGATAGCCCAAAAAGCCTCCAAGAGGGTCCCAAGATAGCCCAAGAGGGCCCCAAGACGGCCCAGCAGGCGTCCAAGACGGCCCAAGAGGGCCCCGATGACGGCCCCAAGAGCGCTCCAGGAGCGCTCCAAGTGGCCTCCAAGGGAGCTCAATATGGTCCCAGACGGTCCAAGAGCGATCAAATGACACCGAAGATGGCCTCCTGACGGCCCAAGATGCCCCCAAGAGACCCCAAGAGGCATCCAAGATGCGTCCCAAGAGGGCCTCTACCAAGACGCCCCCAAGCGGCCTCCAAGATGCGTCCCAAGAGGGTCCCTGGACGCCAAAAATTGTTCATTCCCTTCGTAAAACGTACAATGTTCACAAATTCGCCTTCTGGGCTTTCCGACGCTCCAAGACGGCCCAAGAGGCCCCGAAGACCGCCCCAAGACGGCCCAAGGGGCCCCCAAGACGGCCCCGCGACGGTCCAAAATGGCCCCAAGACGGCCCAAGAGGTCCCCAAGACGGCCCAAGAAGGCTCCAAGACGGCACCAAGAGGGGCCCAAGAGGGCAACCAAAAATTCAAAAATCTAGCTTTCCGCCCCCACGAGCCCCAGGGGGCCCCAAGAGTGCCCCAAGAGGCCGCCAGAGGCCCCCAAGAGGCCGCCAAGACGCCCCAAGGAGCCCACAAGAGGCCCCCAGGAGGCCCCCAAAAGACCCCAAACGCTTCCGTATTGTGAGCCGTCACGCCAACTGCAATGAACTCCGCGCATACGGCCTTGCTCTTCCTCGCGGCGTGCTCACTATCTTGCTCGGCGCTAATGTGCTGCTGCCGCGCGAACTGTTTCGTGCGCGCTGCGAACGTCAACGGCCTCTTTACCCGTTTCGACTCACCTGCCACATCTTTCGCGGTGATGCCTCGCTGATCACAGCTTCCGCACACTATTCTTGTTCCTTTCGTCTTCCGGTGGTCCTCCACTTGGTTGCGGGTCGAAAGGCCGACCTCTCAGAAGGACACCCCGCACCCGGGTGCACAGCACGCAAAGCGCTTGCAAAACACGCCACAGACCACCGGCATCACGCAAACATTTGGACCCCATACGTATCTGCCACCACCCGTGCGCGACACCGCACCCTCACACAAGACGCCGCTGGCCAGAAACTCCTGGCCTCGCAACACTCAAAGAAGGGGTCGGCGGATGTGGCGTAAGCCTGTAGAATCGGAGCCAACATTGGAATCCGGAGCCGAATCGAGTCGGAACCGAAAGCCACCGAAATCGAATCCAATCGAATCGGAGAAATCGAAATGAGCCCCGTCGGAAATGGTAGCCACACTGCGCATCCTTCGGCTCCCTGGTGTCGCGCGGGCTTGCGGTTCGTTCGGGCGCATGGCTTTCCGCGAATGGCAGGGCGCTGCCAGGGCGCCCACATGATGTTCGAACCTCTGCGGCGCCACCGCACCGCCCCCCGTCCGTCACCATTCCTCCGCACCCTCCCTTCGCGCACTTGCCCCCTCGCTGTGCCCTCCTGCGGGTTTGAGTAGGGCTGTGGGGTCAGCTCTGCAGAGCACCCGAGCAGACGTCAAGGGGCGCAACCAACCTGTTCGGTAAAGCCGAAATGGGTGCATCACACGCGGCGTCACGCCAAAACTTTGGACATAAACGAATGGACGAACTTTGCACACGTTCGTCGGCTGAACCGGCGAGGCGTTTGAGCCACCTTGACGCCCCTTTTTTCGTGGTCCTGCAGAGGAAGGCGCTCCCTGGCCGTCGGTTGTACCCAGCTTAGGGTTCATACCGCCGCTCCCGCCCTCTTCCCGACACCACGCCGTCGGTGTTACTCCTGCCGTCACGCGGCCACACTGCCCGGGGCCCCCAGCCGCTCCACCCTGCCAGGCCTGCGCCTCGGCCTCGCGCTGCGGCTTGTCCCTGGCCCACCTTGCTCGTCGTCTCGCCCCGGCCGCCTGGCCTTACTGCGCACTCACTCGCCTAGGAGGAGGAGGAGGAGGAGGAGGAGGAGGAGGAGGAGGAGGAGGAGGAGGAGGAGCCTGCCTCCTGGCATGCCTCGTCCTGCACCCCGCCGCCCTCGCTGCTCGTGCCCAGGCACGCGCACGGCATGCTCTCGATGCCTCTAAGATGGCCGCCCCTGCCTCGGAGGGGCCGGACGCCCGGGCACTCTGGTCGCCTGTGGGCTTTCTCCGCCTCGTGTGTGTGCATTGACCCTCTCCCTCCTCTCCGTCTCCCCACCCTGCCCGTCCTCATGCGCCCCCTCCCTCACTCCCACCTTCCTCCTCCCGACGACGACGGCGACCCTGTCTCCATCCACGCCCCTCAGCTGCTCACCTCAATTGAAGCCCTCTGTCTACGAGGAAGGTGGATGACTCCGCTCCAGCTGCAGCGCGCAAAGCAAAAAGTGGGTTCGAGTCTGTGCGAGCTAAACGCACATTCTCGTGTGGGCCGTACTCAACACCGAGAGAGAAATTTGAAACACTCGTAGATCATTCTCCTATCCGCGCTGCAGGCATTATCGCAAAGAACGCCACACCAATCCACGAATTCCGTTCCGCTTGTAAGCCCGACGACGGTTCCGTTCAACAACGCCTCTCATGCAAATCCCGTTCCAGTAACACCGTCATCCGATCAGTGATCAGAGCGAAGCGCTGAGCTAAATGAATGGCCCTCCACCATCAGCCTCCTCCTCCTCCTCCTCCTCCTCCTCCTCCTCCTCCTCCTCATTATCATTTGATTGCTGCTCCTCCTCATCGTCAAGTCGCGGGTTTCACGATTCTTTCGACGGCCCCAGCCATTACGCCGTACCAATCACTAGCCTCACCCCTCCTGGTCTTTGCCCTCGGCATGCTCCTGTTTTAATCGTCGTCTTCGCTTCTTCCTGCCGCTGCTCTCCCTCCCCATCCGCACCTCTGGAAGCCAGGTGCTTCCCAGGCTTGCGCAATATCCCAATGCACGGTTACACCTTGCGCTCAAAAAGCCAGGCGGAAAATATGGAGGTGGCAGCAGCTCGCCACAGACAGTCACTTACAACTTGCAAGCCCTCTCGTAGCACCAACAGGTGTCCGTGGGAACCGCTTGACTGAAATGACGTCTGTATTTGTAGAAACCCCAACGTTCCGAATCTGAGACCGAATCGGAAGCCGCTCCGAACCCGAAGCCACGCAAAGATCGCTATCAAGGATACGTACCTCCGTCCTGCCACGGCCTCTCCGTCATCTCACCGGCCATGCATGTTTGTCTTGCGTAGTGCTTTCGCACCAGCAGCTGCTGAAGTCGCCCCTCTCTTCCGCCTGCCACGCTGATCAAATCGCTCAAGAGTCCCCAAACGCCTCTGGAGCTCAAGCAGTCTGAGGACAGAGCCAATAAAAAAACGTAGACGCCGAAAGGTAAACGGATCATACACTCATCGTCGCCGTCACCCTTCTTCTCCTCCTCCTCCTCCTCGGAATGGGATTCCGAGTGGAGGATGGGAGGAAGAGGAGAGGGAGGAGGAGGAGGAGGACGAGGAGGAGGAGGAGGAGGAGGAGCAACAGCAGCGACAGTCTGCTTGTCATCTCCCCCTCTCCGAGGAACAACAAACAAGCTGCATAAACATCACCTTTCGGAGGTCCACGGAGTTCTG